GGTCTGCAGACCAGGGGGACGGGGGGCGGGGGCAAAGCAGAGCAAAGCAGAGCCAAGCCTCGGAGTGCGTGGGCAGCGGACAGCCCTGTCCGCTGCCCACATGTTCCGCCGCTTTGCTTCCTTCCCTGGTCTGCTGGAGACCAGGGAGAGGAACGGCCCCGTTCGTAACTGCGGATCCGACATAAGTCGGATCCGTGTAACTCGGGGACTGTCTGTACTTGGCAATGTTTTCATGATGATCTAACTATCCTTCAATTATTTGAATGACAAGCCTTTTGTTATCTTAATCACTCTGCACTCCCTGCTCCAAAGGCATAGTTAGGAGCAACACAAAATCTGTTGCAGCTAAGAGCTGCCTCTGGAGTTAGAACATGTGCTTTAAACAGACTTCAAGTATGAAATCCAATCCAAGGGTTCAAATTTTAGGGGAGTGGGCTACTGACCCCTTCACAAAACATTTCATAAATGGTGCCCTTGAGGCAAGGCCTTTTCACAAAAGACCTGAAGCGTATATGGACCACATCTAGGGTTGCTTGGACAGCCCGGTAATTGCGGCTTTTGTCCTATAAAAAAACATAGAAAATAACAGACATGTAAAATGTCCGGTATTTTCTGTTTTTCTTAGATGGAAGGCCACTTGGGACATTCTTCCCCGCCACAACCATGACCTTTTTTTTGGTGCACTGGAGTTTTTTTCCTCAACAACTTTGGTCCCCATGGGTTTTTTTGCTCAACCATTTTTTCCCACCATGTTCGGTATTTTTTGTGAAACTATCTGGCAATCCTAACCACAGCTAGTGTGGATCAAAACGCTGATTAAGAATGCAGGCAAGTCAGAATTGGCAGTGAAAACTAGGTACTGTATAACATGAACAGATGCCAGATGGAGGGAAGAATGCTTTGACTGCTTAAAAAGCCCAATAAACGTTAGTGCAAGCCTGACCTACACAAGCTTAATCTCTTCTGCACCTTCACAAGCTTGATACCGCTGCACACCTGCAGTAGCTGTGCATGCATGCAAATTAGTATTTGGGTGGTCAGTGGAATTCTGTTCACTCAATTCAAGAATACGTATACACCAGGGCTCTTCAACTTTGGAAGCCCCGGGGGCCACAATGATATTCATTGCATATGCCGAGGGCCCCAAATTAAGTGTGGTTGCATAGACATGCAAATATATATACAAATATATGCAAATAGCTTCTTTCACACTGACGGGCAGAATACAAAGATTAAGCCACGGCACCAGACCCAAACGTGGGAGGTGTGAACCAGTCAGCACCTCTCAGGTTCTGCCCACTAGGCTAAGCAGCCAGCACTTCCCACAATGCTTCTGGCATCTCCTCCCTGGGGGCTAGAAATGCCGACACCCTATATTCTAGCCAGCCTGTCCGCTTGCATCTTTCAGTGCTCAACCCGCCTGGGAGATGCCTCACTATTGTGGAGCATTTTCCCAGTGGAGGCCATGTTCAAAGGATCCCACCTGCGGGCCACGTGTTGAGCCCCGTGTAAACCCAAACTGCACCGCAGGCTGCAAAGGCAGCCCGTGGGCCATATGTTAAATAGCTCTGACATACACATTTCTTCAAGTGCATTTTTGAAAATCTGATGCCAATTTAATATCAGCCTTTTCATATAACATAAAGTCTTTGTAATGTGATCATAGGATCTTTGTGCCTGCTCTGAAACCAAAAATTCAGGTGTTCCTTAATATTCATAGAGCAGGAGGAGTCCAGTGAGCACTGACAAAGCTCTATTTCAGTATTTCTTAAATTGTGCTCCTTGGTATACCCGTGTGCCGCGAGGCAATCAGAGGTGTGCCATGTGCCATGGAGAACAACAGAATTCAAAAAATGTAACTTGTAAGCTGGCCAAAAGATATCACTCAGGCCACTTGATGCTGTAAAAAAAGAAAAATCACAAGTCCACCAAAAATTAAAATACAAACCATGGGCAATGTTGAGGAGAGGCTTATCAAAATCTCAAGGTTCATATTTGCAACAGAAAAAAATGAAATGGAATAGAGAGCCATTTTATTAAAATTAAGAAGAGAGTTTAACGCCACTTTTTAAATTTTTTTTTAAAGCTTCAGGAATATAAAAAGCCATGATGCAAATTAAGTGTAGTGTAATATATGTAATTGATTCTTTCCATATTTTCCTCCCTCATGTCATAACCTTAATAGCATGCTTTCTGTTAATGGTGATATGCTTTCTGTTAATGGTGTCCCTAGCCTCTGTTTGTCAGAAGCTGGAGATGGATGGCACGAGACAAATCGCTTGATCATTGTCTTCGGTCCACCCCCTCTGGGGCACCTGGTGCTGGCCACTGTCAGTAGACAGGCTACTGGGCAAGATGGACCTTTGGTCTGACGGCCGTTCTTATGTTCTTATGATATTTTGACATGGGAGATCTTTGGCAGGTGTACAAATGGAACCTCATGAAGAATACCTATTGATCAGCGATGGGCAATGTAGGCTAGTGAGTGGACGGCATGTGTGGCCCTCCTTCATCACAGTGGGCTGCAAGATTGTCGTAACCGAGATGGTCTCCTGGGATGCAGTAGTTTTGCTAACTGCATTTGCATACATAGAATTTGTGGGGCGTTCTGGGGTCATCATAGCACTTTGACTGGATGCAGAGGGAGTCAATGTTGTGTGCAATCAGCACGCCCGTCACTTCCCGTGGCCTTGCTTTATGTGCATGTCACTTTAGTAATACCAGTCGGGAAAAAATGATGTGGATGGGAACCAGTGGAATCTGGCAATCCTGCATATGGGCAATGGTAAACAAAATGTGTCACAGGCCACGCATAGAACCCCAATGGGCCTTGCCCAGAGTCCACAGATTACCTGCCACTGCTATAGGTCAAATATAGGAGAGCATAGGTGTGCGCGGGGAGTGTGCTGCGTGTGCCCAAGCACACCTTAATGTCTCAAAAAAAAAGGCTTTGCGTTTTAATTTAATCGCATGAGAAGCTCTTTTAAGTAAAGTTTAGTAGTTAATTTTTAAAAAATTAAGTTTAGTTAAGTTTTAGTTTCTTTAGTTTGTTTGATGAATAAAAATAATGTCCTTTATGATTGAGTATTCAATAAATGTTCGCCTTAAAAAAAATTCCATATCACCCTAATGAAATGTGCTGTGCATGCCTATGTAGGAGAGACAAGTTGGGTGATGTAATACCTTTTGTTTGACCGTGAGAGAGGCAAATTTGAGTTTCTATATAACAGATAGATAAGAGAATAAGATAACACTGTCATATGGAGAACATAGTTTAATGACTAGTTTACAGTAAATGAAAAAGCTGCACTTAGTTTGCTCAGCAGTCAGAAAGTGAATTCCTTCTATATCTACAATGAACTGGATTTTCAAATCAGGTTCAACACCTTAATCCACATTGCTGAACATCTCGATTTTAGAGACCATCTCTTGGCAATGTAAGATTTGTAATGCTGGCAACATGGGGGCCAATATGTGAAATTATGAGTCATTTTCCTTTACTGCTGCTTTGCCAGTTGAAAAGATAGCTATTTATGCAAAAATTAATACTTAAAACAAAATATTTACATAAAAATGGTTACTGAAATTACTTGGGAAATTTAGTGAATTATGAGACAGCAAGGAGTACTTTGGATTTTTAGATTTCCTCAAAAAACAGCCCCTCCCAGGTAACAAGAGTCTGTTTATTTACTGTTGTCCAGGTATAAGAGAAGAGATTAGATTAAGCACGCACACCTGTGCATTCATGCGCACACACACACACACATACACGCACACGCACACACACAGAAAGTTAAACAGTCTGAAAGTCTGACACAAAGCCCACAAATACAAGTCAATCCATTAAGAAAACCAAAATGCTATCTTAAGACTCCCCGTAGTAAATAAATAAAATTGATGGATACTGGCAGATCTTTTAAAGAGTCAAATAAAGATGAGCTAAGAAAGGAATGTTACCATTTACACTACATTTCCTGCCTTTGTAGGTGTAAAACTGATCCATAATTTCACTTTATCCTGAACTTTTTTGATTTAATAATATTGAGATAGTACTTGTCAATGATATGCACATTATGACAAACTGTGATAGTATTTTCAAAACCTTTAAAGCCTTCTCTGGAAATGTATACTTAGAATTTTGGAAATAATTTACATTAAGATGAAGGTAAGTGGTTTGACTTGTAACAACACTGAGGAAAGAATTAAAGTTTTATATTCCCACACTCCACTTGTGAGTGTGATTAATTAAATAGGGCACTATAATGATAGGCATGAGACATGAGTTCTATCCTCTATCAGTTTTATGACCTTGGCCAGTGACCTCAGCTGTAAAATAGGGATAATTATGTCTTCTCTGGAAAGCCCTACTTTGAAATCTATAGCTGAAAGACTCTATATTATGTAATTATAGAAGAATTAATTCAGTCTTTATGATGGATTTTGAACTGGTATAGCAATATAAAATATGCAAAGTCAGTTTGTCACATCACAGTTTAACCTGCATTTTGCTAAGGTTTGAATGGTCAATGTACCTACATTGACATGCATCTGACGAAGTGGGTCTTTGCCCACGAAAGCTTATGCTCCAATACATCTGTTAGTCTATGAGGTTGCTACAGGACTCCTTGTCGAATGTATCTACATTTAGACTGCAGAGAATTGAAAAATATATGTTCTATAGCTAGCTGACTGTCCTCACTCAGTAATAATTGGAGTACAGAAGCATATCAAGTTGCAAAATAATGGATAATTTTTGATTTCTTACCTGGTTTTGGAGGTCTTTAATGGTTTTAAAATATGGACTGTGGTCATGCCTTATAGCTGAGGAGCTATTTGCATACCACTCCTTGATCTTCTTTTCAAGCTCGATGTTAGTCTTTTCTAGAAAATTTACTTTCTCCAGATAGGAAGCCAAACGTTCATTCAGATTTTGCATGGTCAGTTTCCCATTTCCAGCAAGTAGGACGTCACTACCGCTGGTTCTAAGCTTAAATCCACTGCCAAAGCCGCTACCCAAGACTCCTGCATAGTTAGTGCCGGTGGAAATGCGGGTGCCATAGCCACCAGCTCCCCCATAGACACTTGGTGCCTGATATTTTCGTATAGTTGCTTTCTTGTAGGTTGAACCACCTATGCTGGGTGCAGTAGGCTGGAAATTGGAGCTTGTACTGGTACGGTAGCTTTGACTAGAGAATGCCATTGGTGGTATTTGTTTTAATTTAATAGTTAAAGCACCACAAGCCTTAGAGCAGCTAGAATGGAGAGGACTGTCTGCTTCTTGAACCTTTATACTTTATCTGAAAAAGAGGCATGACAGATGTAAACTCCACCTCTGCTGACACACAGTTATATTGGGGTCAATGTCACCAACTCTCAGCATCTTGCCACATTACCTGGGTGAAGTAACAAAACTTTAATCTGTTTGTGGTGTTCCACTGTGCCCCTAGGTAGCGGGGGCCCTCTTTGTGATTTTTTTTATATAAAAGATAAAACACATTTAAGCTATAACAAGATTTATTGCATTATACCTATTACCACAGTCTCTATATCCCTTTTGAAAAAATAACAAAGGAGATACATTTACTCTCTATTTGTAGATTATTGTATAAAAAGCAGAGAGATGTTATCAGTGACATAAAACTTGGTTAGAGTCAATAATGCATTACTACAGATAATGAAGTCACTGCCTGAGAGATGGTTAGTATGTTTGAGGGGAAAAAATCTAATTAGGTCAATGATTAGAAAAATTACATTCGTGTTTACCATGTTCATTTATTTGATAATAAATGCACAACAGCATCCATATTTAAAACAGTCATTAAGCATTTGTAACATTAGCAATGGTCAGGCATTTTACATATAAACACAATTCTGGTTTTAAACAAGAAATCAGTACTATAATTTAAAATGAAAAAACTTTAGTACACTTGAAAATAAAACAAATATTACTTTGTCATAAGATATATGTAAATGCAACATAATGGGAAAGAGCATTTGAAATCTCATTGCTCATCTCCATTTCCACAGCAGCAACTGAATCAATGGCGCTAAACCAGGCATTACATTTAGCCAACTTAATTTCTCTGTAGATATACTTTCCTACCAAATTTAGTTTGTCTTGAGTACTCTTGTGTGGCTGAAGTTAAAGTGAAACCAATAACCTTTCATTAAATATTCTTTTCATGTTATATACCCTCATAAGATAAAAATAGATGTATTAATTTGAGCTGCATTTTGGCAACTAAAATAGGTTGTACTCTGTGTGTTAATGATTAACATTAAGCAGATATGTAGTCAAAACCATTCAGCTGTTCCAGTGCACGTGTTTCCTTTATTCAAAAACATTTTCAAAATAATTTCTTAAAAAACATAGACATTTCTTTGCTCTAGTTCACCCATGCACACGCACACACACACACACACACACACACTGGAACCCTGACATTTCACAGAATAGTTTCCTTTCCAAATGTCAGTGATATCACATTTCCCTTCTACACAGAATTGTTATAACTCAAAGAAACAATTAACCTTGAAGAAAGATATATCTGTGAGTCATTCAGGAGCAATAAAAAGGTAGGTTAGAGTTCACAAATTACTTAGGAGTCTGGCATCATATGCACTCTTTCATTTTCTTTGTTACAGATATCTGATAAACAGAATAGGTTGTGTGTCCGTGAGGCTACGTCTACACTTGAGGGCAGGGAGTATGCTAATGAAGCACTCATTAGCATTTTTTGCACTGTCAAAAAAGTAGGCATACGGATCTTGCGCAAAAGGGAGTTTTTGCACGAAACGGATCTGTCTATGCTGCTTGTTTTTGCACAAAAACCCCTTGCGCAAAAAGCCTCGGGCAGAGAATATGCTAATGACAGTGCAACAAATACTAATGAGAGAGAACATTTACTGTACAGTAACTGCGTCTTTGACATGTGTTGTCCACAAGGATTCCACAACTTGCACTCCTTCCCTGCTTCAGCAGAGACCTACTCCTCTGGGATTCTGTATTGGTGAAGGAACTGAGGGATGGTTGTACTTGTTCCACTCTTTATGCTGCCACTGGGTAGGGGCAGGGTGATGTGGGGACATCTAAGGCCCAGGTAATAATAAATCAGTTTCACAGCAGAGAGCAGATATTATATCAGGGCTGGACAAACACTGAATCTGGCATGTGGGCACAGCAGGCACCTCAGTCAGCCTTCCTGCCTGCCCCACCCCCACGTTGCACTCAGGAAAGCTGCCTGTGGTGCCCTACTTGTCTTTAAACAGCTGCAAGGCCTGGGGAAGAGAGGAAAAGCTTCATGCACTGTCCCCACCTGCAGCACAATCTTGTAGCTTCCATTGGCTGGTTTCCAGCCAATGAGAGCTGCCTGTTTGAAGAACAGGCAGTGCACGAAGTACCCTTCCCCTTGGGCTCACAGCTCACAGGTGCACATGGCCCTACAGCCGGCTGTTCTGAGTGGCCTGCCAAGGCATGGAAGGCAGGGAACCTGCTGGGCTGCTGGCCTGGAGTCACCCGGGTAAGTGTCTTCTGTCCAAAGCCCGGCTCCCACACCCCTAGACTATTTGTTGTATTTTTAGAATGATTTCATTAGGATTGATCATGTTTTGAGCAGGGAGTAGGACTCCTGAGGTTCCTTTCAACTCTAATATTCTGTAATTCTATGATGTAGAGTGAGGCAGAGAATCTGGAAGCAATACCCTAATGTTTCTGATGGCTTCCTTCCAATTTGGCGCAACACAGATTGGCCATAGATTTAAACAGTTTAGGTATATTTTGAGAATTTGCACTTCCTTCACACTTCCTGAAAATCACATAAAGTGCAATTTTCAAAGTATGAAAGTTTTCCAAACCAATCTGAACAACCTTTAAAATGTTATCTCATGTTAACTTTTTATTGATGCCCTACCCTCATCAATGTGAATTGTCTTTGGACTTCAGTCCTCTGTGGGTGTGGCCGATACATGTAAACGAATGATGAATATTTATAGAAAGTCTATGCCCAGAAGTAATCCACATGATTCCTGTTTGAAGTGTTTGGGAGAAGGGCATCAACCCCTCCACACTGGACATCTCAAAAAAGTCTCCTCACCTCAAAAAAGATATTTTGGCATTAGAAAAGGTTCAGAAAAGGGCAACTAAAATGATTAGGGGTTGGAACGGGTCCCATATGAGGAGAAGCTAAAGAGACTGGGACTTTTCAGTTTAGAAAAGAGGAGACTGAGGGGGGATATGATAGAGGTCTATAAAATCACGAGTGCTGTGGAGAGGGTGAATAAGGAAAAGTTATTTACTTGTTCCCATAATATTAGAACTAGAGGATACCAAATGAAATTAATGGGTAGGAGGTTTAAAACTAATAAAAGAAAATTCTTCACACAGCGCACAATCGATCTGTGGAACTCCTTGCCAGAGGAGGCTGTGAAGACTAAGACTATAACAGAGTTTAAAAAAGAGCTACATAATTTCATGGAGGTTAGATCCATAAAAGGCTAATAGCCATGGTGCCCCTGGCCTCTGTTTGTCGAAGGCTGGAGATGGATGGCAGGAGACAAATCACTCGATCATTGTCTTCAGTCCACCCCCTCTGGGGCACCTGGCATTGGCCACTGTTGGCAGACAGGTTACTGGGCTAGATGGACCTTTGGTCTGACCCAGTATGGCCATTCTTATGTTCTTATGACACATTTGAGGCCCTGCGTGACCTCATTGAGCTGACCATGCAATCCCCACGTGCAGAGATACTGTGCTGGTGCAGGCGGAACTAATAGCGCAGCCCTCGGTACCAGCTTCGGAATTGGTTTTGGCACCAATGCCAGTGGTAAATATGGCAAAAGCAGGCACCCCATTGGGGGCACCACCCCACAACAGCACCTCCAGTCCAGCACTGAAGGAAGCCACTATCAATGTTGCGATGGTCACCGTCACCAATACCCAGCACCAGTAGACTCTGCACCACCCTGGTCTGCATCCATGGGGGAGTCATCCACATCGGGCATGAGCAGCGACGGATCCTGTTCCCGGCACTATTCTCAGTATCATGCACAATGCCATGACTCGCAGGGCCTGCCAGCTTGGCCATCGCAATAGCAAGCGGTTTCACAGTGGCTCTTTTGGACTCCTTGGGCTTATCACCCCGCTACAGAGAAGGGCTCTTGGGCTGCTTCAGTAGCATCAATGCCTCAAGGTCCTCCTTCCGCTGCCTTGGCATCACATATAGTGACAGCATCCACTCTAGACGAGACACCACTGTCAGGCTTGGGAACGGTTCTAGCGGTTACAGGACCCACATCTATGCCCCAAGCAGAATGCATGCAGCTCACAGACTCTCAGCCGGTACTCGAACGAGGATGGGGCATGTGGGAACTAGAGGGCCAGGAGGACCTGGTGCCTAGGGCCTTTTCATTCTCTTCCCTTGATGAAACAGTGGCACAGGCTTCCTCCACTTCCATGCCCACTATAGACTCAAACAGCCATTGGGACCTCCTGTAAGAGTGGCACAAAATCTACACGTACAAGCCAAAGAGATTGTTGAAGAAGTAGTCTCTATGTTTGACGTATTTGCACTGGAAGGACCCTGTCGAGTGGCGCTGCCACTCATTAAAACTGTTAATTCCACCACAAGGATGCTGTGGCAGGGTCCAGCCTCCATATTTCTCCTGGCAAAGTGGCGAAGAGGGGGCGCCGATCGCGTGTTCTGCCTGGGGTGCCAGCTGCCGCAGCCCTCCTGAGGCCGCTCCTGGTCATCCGTGCATTCCTTCGCAGCCCATTATGCCATCACCAAGTGCACCATGGATGATGTTTCCTTAGATAGGGTAGTCCTACAATCAGTAACTGAACTCCAACTTCTCCTCCAGGAAAATTGCTTGGAAGCATGGCAGTTGGCGGCTTCCCTGGGCTCCTGGGCATGATGCAGGGGAGCCAGAAGGAGTGGAGTCTCAGGTGGAAGGGGCAGGGTTATAGCCATCAGCCCTTGGCGCCACCGAGAGCATAGCACTGCTCCTCAAGCTCTCGAAGCCACACTCTGGCTACGTCTACACAGCAAGGTTTTTGCGCAAAAACCTGAGGAGCATCCACACCTCAAATGCGCTTTTGCTCAAATAAATCAGCAGTAAAACGGCAGAACAGAGGGCTTTTGCCGGTGTATGTAAACCTCCTTCTACGAGGCATAACTCCCTTTTGCGCTACAGCTATCATGCAAAAAGGCAAGTGTGGACACTCCAGAGAGGTTTCTTGCGCAAGAAACCCCTCTGGGAAAAAGCACAGG